CACGTGGTGTTGATATAGTTGATGTTTCAGTTGTTAGGTGTAGTTCTTTTGATTAAAAGGATGAAGTGTGGTCTAATTGGGTAGATGTTGCGCATGGTGAATGTGATAGACTTGTGGATATTGAAATGAATTCACTCTTTAATAGGGATGGCAACGAGGCGGGGCGGGGCCAGGGATCACACTCCCCGTCCCCGATCCCCAACGAGGAACCTATCACCGTTCCCATTCCCGTCCCCTAGCGGGGATCAGGTTTCCTCGACCTTAAAAATTCCCCGGCCCAAAAAAAACAGTAGCAACAAATCAAGTTTTGAACAACTGACATAAAACAAATAAAGAAACCTTAATACATCTTGAACTATCATGATTACACACCAGCCTCACATAAGAGCATCAAAATGTTGGGGTATCTACAAAATTAATGATCACATACAAAATCAACACAGACAGAACTTATAGTTTACAGCAATTGAGAAAACCCAAACGGAGTCATCAAGTAGGCGCGAAAAAACCAACAACAAAAAAATTAAAAACAAGAAATGTAGTAGCATCTAGTTGGCCTCATAAAGAAGATTAGTTTGTCAACACAATATGTTTTAGACATATGCTTGTCTATTAAATATTGTTTAATCATTGGCCAATTTACAAACAGAAGACTAAAATAAAAAAACAAAAAAAAAACAAATGAAATATAAACACCATAGGCACATTAATGCACACACACATACACACACACACATATATATACAAAATAAAAAATAGAGCTTGAAAAATATAGAGGAAAAAGAGAGATATTTTTTGAGGACTCAGCTTATGGGTGGTGAGGAGAGGGTATCGGAGATGAGACAGATTGGGGAATCAGAAATGAAAAAGAGAAGAGAGAGAGAGAGAGGGGTTGGTTTGTGTTCTATAGATCTCAGATCTGACATCAATTCCAAGTGCTTCAAAAAAGAAAAGAAAAAAAAAACAGTAATCTGTGTCATCTCATTATCATCAGCATCAACAACAACAACTACAAAACTCAGATCTAAAAACCAATGTATATATATTGTGGGGGATTGCTCAAATCTAGAGATATGAAGTAAAGAGCTAGTGAGAGAAAGTAGAGAAATAGAAAGAGAGACCTACGGGCGGCGATATCGGCAAACTTGTCAATAATCTAGTCAGATCGGAATCACCTCGCTGTCGGTGACTTTGTGAACTAGCTGAAGTGAAAAACGTTCTTTGTCACCGGAGTTCTGCTCGAAGAAAATGGTAGTAGTGAAATGAGGAGCAACGGTGTCGTCGTTGGATCACCATTTTTCTGATCTCCAGGTCTTGTAATCTTCATGGTATCCATTTGCAGAGGTTTTGTGGCTGTGTTGAGCAGCCGACAAAAGAGAGAGAAACTGAAAGAGAGTGACAAATATCTAAGAGAGGGAGAGAGTAATCGAGGTCTGAGAGAGAGGGATATATATATATGAATGGATAGAGGGGTATAATAGTAATTTTAGTTTGGGGAAACGGGGAGGATGACGGGGACGGGGACAGGCCGGGGTTGGGAAACGTATCACCATCCCCAAAACTTGTCAGGGATTCATTTTTGAATATCATCCCTAGCTCGTCGAGATATTTTTCAAGAAAAAATCGTTCTAATCAGGGTTAGGATGTTAGGTCCCTGTCGGGCCAGATTCAAATTACCATCACTACTCTCTAAATTTTGTTCTCACTAAGAAAAGGTGTTTTTGGTGTTTTGTTGCTACTACGTTTTGCGATTTTTCTAGACAATGAAAACATAAAAATGTCAAAATCATATTCTAGAGAAAATTACAGTTACAAGCACACAACTAGCCAGAGAAAATCAAAGAAGCAACATAAATTAATATGGTTAGATAAAATTAAACATGCCACAAAAAATTCCACATGGCAGAGAAAATTAAATATGCTAGAGAAAATTACACATGTCAGAGAAAATTACACATAACAGATAAAATTAAACATGTTAGAGAAAATTACACACACGAGAGTGTTAAGTGGTTTTTAACAAAATAAATCAAACATGGCAGTGAAAATTATACATGTTAGGGGAAATTACGCACACACAAGAGAGTACTAAGCTTTTTAAAACCAAAATTTCCATTCCCAGCGAAATTTTCAATAATTGAGAAAATTAAACATACAAGTACACAACTAGTCAGAGAAAATCTACAAAGCAACATGAATTAATGTGGTCAGAGAAAATTACACAACAGAGAAATCTGAATGAATTGAATTTGAAAATTACACAGAGAAATACAGAGAAATTAGGGGAACAAACAAATAAATGGGGGAATAAACATGCTAAAGAAAATTCAAAGACAAAATATAGATCAAGCAAATGCTAGAGAAATTCAAATTCCAGATAAATTTACAGACATAATCACACAACAAGCTTCAAGAATAAATTCGAAACGCAGAGAAATAACATTTTTCAAATTTATGTGGCTTTTATTACGAAATTGAAACCCTAATTAATGGAAGACTGATATAAAATGCAATTAACTGTGTTTCTAGAGAAAAACTATTGGTTTGTAGAAAAACTTACCAGAGTGAGAATGAAACCCTAATTACGAACTGATATACTCTGAGATGAAGATACAGTGTGATGAAGATGAACTGAGATGACGATGAACAATGAAAATACGTCAGAGAAATTTGTGAGGAAGGAATCGAAAATATTTTCACATAAGATAATGAAATCCTAATGTCGATTGTAAAGATGATTGTGAAACCCTAACGTCGCTCTTCTCTTGCTCGTGAAGATGATTGGATATCAGGACTAGAACTCAAGTCATTGGAATCTAGTTGAGTTTTCTCTGTTGATAGTGAAAAGTATTTTGGTCCATAAAATGAATAAAAAGCACGTGTTTTGGTTGAGGGACTTGAGACAGATGCCTCTATTTACATACCACATTTGGTCTCGAGGCACATCATTTACTTAATGCACACCAAACATAATTTTAACTTTATTGTTTTTGCTCAATGCACACCATCCATTTTTAAATATACCTAAAATATCCTCATCTTCTTCAACCACCCCATCAACCCTAACCCTAATCCTAGCCGCCGCCACTCGTCGCCTCTTCCTTCTTCTCCGGTGAATCTCTTCCTCACTCCTCCATCCATCACTCTCTTTGTCTTCCCACTTCCAACTATGCTCCAAAACCCTTTTCCACCCCCAGATGTTGCCTTGGTCAACCCAAAATACAAGAACAAGTTGAAAGCCAGACTCAAGCCCACAATGAATCCAGATAAGTTTTGGCAATCACATTGTAACCAATAACTTCAAACTCTAATTCTAGGTGCCTCTTTGATTCACAAGTCGCGATGTAATAACAATTTCGAAATTGCGACTTGTGATACTTCTTTAGTTCGCGATGTGTTTGATCTAGGGTTTTGATACAAAACCCAGTAACTGCGAACCCAAAAAGGAGCAGAGAGGATCTAAAGCCAGTCGCGAAAAAGGTCCATAGTCAAGTTGTGAAATCGTTTTGTGTAATGCCAAACTCAAACACTAGTTTCCTGAAGATGCAACACCAGAGTGGACCAAATCGTGAACTGCCGACTAGGGTTCTTGAGAGTTTACAAACTGGAAACTTCAAAATAGTGGAGAAATCATGTCGCAAAATCCAAAGACATCAAGTCGCGAAGTAAGGAAATCAAGTCGCGAGATCAAAGGCTCTGTTCTTGACAACACATAGGATCAAGAAGAGTCGATCTTGAATTTGGAAAGTCGAATTTCAATCAATGGGGAGAAGGGTTTGCATAGGGAAAAGGGGTTACCGGCGAGGTAGAGAGGGGGGTTGCGATGGTGGCTGGGTTTCGGTGACTGTGGCCGGAGGTAGAATCAGGCAGCAGAGAGTGGTGGTGTGTATCGATATTCTTTTATAGTCATTTTAGTCATTTTATGTAAGGTCATTATTGTAATAAAAAAATAACCAATTAATAATATGTCTTGAAACTAAATGTAGTGTGTGAATAGAGACACCCACTTGAGACATCATCTCCTTTTTTTAATGCCCTTTATCCTCTAAATTTTTATTCTCTAAATTATTATTATTAAGTATCATAAAAACAATTTCCTGTAATGATCACAAGTGTTATAAATAAAATGTAATAAAGTACAGAGGATGACCTAGAATTTTTTAGGGTCATGTTTAAGTGTGCAACCCCCTTAAGGTTGCACACCATATGCAACTCAATTGTTAGCCGTTAGATTACAATAATTGATCAAGACCATTGAATTGTTTAATCGTGAAAAAGTTGAAACCGAGGCAACCAGTTAATGCTTGTATTTGTATTTGCATGATTGTATCCCACTCACTCTCTGTATTTCGTCTCTATCTTTCTCTGTGTAAGTTTGAGTCAGTGTAACCCTTGATTTCAATTAACAGCGAGAAGCCCCTGCTAGGTTGGTTCCATTGACAAAGCTCTGTAGGGAACAGTATAACGGGCGATTTCCAACAACAACGAAACTACACGGCTGTGTTGATTCGATTCCTGAAGTGAAGCCCTTCTCTCCAACTAGATATAAGTTATGGAGCTGTCTCCCTCTCTCTGTATCCCTCTCTGTCTCTCTGGCCTCTTCACTTCAGCTATTTTCTCTCAACTAAACCCCCATCCTAACTTCAACCGCTCTATGCTTCGCTCAAACGGAAACCCCTCCATTGGCAACTAACCTTTCTCTTTCTCAAGCGAGTGTTTATGTTTGCACAAATAACTAAACCGTGTGAAAATGTCATGTTTGTGTTTGTGTTAACATTTTTCGGTCATCAAGTAATTGTTTGTACTAATGTCATGTGCAGTATGGCCCCAGCGGAAGTTAAAAGGGAAGGTGATAATTATGACATTCCAAATGAAGCAGATGACATTCGTTTGATGAATGAAAGTTGGGCGGAACCTTATCATGGTTGCGAAGTTGGTCCGTGCAATGAAGAAGCAACCAACATGAACGTTGAAGATGGCGGAGCCGATGTGAAAAAGAAATGGTTGACAATGCTCATCGCAATGACATGGTTGGTGATGTTGAACGTGCTATTCTGGAACATAAATTTGATTTGGTCGAAGATAGAGAAGCTTTCTACAATGCGTATGCTAAAGCCAAGGGATTTAGTATACGAAAATCCAGATTTAACACAAATAAAGAGGGAAAGGTTGTTAGTAGGCTGTGGTTGTGTTCAAGGAAAGGTCAGAGATTACCAAAATACTTGGACCGTGTTGCTGAGAAAAGTATAGCTCCCAAGGCACTAACAAGAGTAGGTTGCAAAGCCCAATTTCACATACGGTACGACGCAGATACTGGTGAAGGGGGAAAGTATGTTGTGACTCACTTCGTCGCTGACCACAACCATGAATTGGCGGAACAATACTGTGTGATGTATTTGAGGTCACATCGCACTTTAAACAGCGCTGACAAAGCTCAAGCAATGGCTATGCGCAACATCGGTGTGAAGACTAGCCAAATCATGGACTATATGGTAAATCAATCCGGGTCTTATGAGAATTTTGGTTTCATCCGTATGGATCTGCACAACCATATTCAAGCTGAACGTAGAACAGAAGTTGAGGATGGTGATGCGTAGGGTGCGTTAGTTTACCTATGTGCAAAACTTGATGTTGATGCACGTTTTTTTTACAAGTATGATGTGTGTAACGATAACAAGTTACAAAATCTGTTTTGGGCAGATTCAAAATCGTGGGCCGACTACGCAAAGTTTGGTGATGTGTTGATATTTGACTTAACTTACAGAACCAATGCATACAAGAAACCTTTTGTCATGTTGGCTAGTGTGACTAGCCACTTTAGAACCACGATATTTGCATGTGTTTTGCTAGCTAATGAGACAAGTGAGACATACACATGGGTTTTAGAAACATTTATGGAGGCGATGGGCAATAAAGCACCTGTGTCCATACTGACAGATGGGGATAAGGCGATGCGAGAGGCAATCAGAAGAGTATTTCCAAACGCAAGACATCAATTCTGTAATTGGCATCTTGGGAAAAATGTTGTTTCAAATGTTCACATAAGTGGCTTTGCACATGCTTTCAAGCAGTGCATGGACATGGAAATGGATGAGACAAAGTTTGAGCATGGCTTGACGACAATGGTTGAAAAATTTGGACTTCAAACCAATAGTTGGGTGTTGGAGACATATGAGAAGTGTCATATGTGGGCTAAGGCATATATGCGTGAACATTTCTTTGCTGGGATGAAGAGCACTCAGCGCTCGGAGTGTTTGAATGCTTATTTCAATCCCTTCCTCCAACACAAATTGAAGCTATATGAATTTGTTAGGCACTATGATCGGGCTCTTGCAAGGATAAGGTATAACGAGGCTGGAGATGATGCTGAAACAAATAACACTTTTTCGGTATTGATTACTCCATTGCGAGATATAGAGAGACATGGAGCTGAGCTATTCACCCGAAATATATTTAGAATGTTCCATGATGAAATCTTAGAAGAGGGGAAGTTGAATGTCAAGGACGTGTTCCTTTTGTCAGATAGTCAGAAATGCTACTATATTCATAAGTACAAATTGAAGGATAGATCATGGATAGTAACCCACAGTCCAACGGATGCTGCAATGAGATGTTCTTACATGAAGTTTGAGTCGTTGGGGCTACCTTGCTGTCACATTATATGTGTTATAAAAGCTGAAAATTTAATGCAAATTTCCCTAACTTGTGTGCTGCATAGATGGACAAGGGCTGCAGACAAGGATGGCCAGCAATGGCCTCAACTCTCAATTGATAGCACTACAACACAGACGGCCCGGTATGGGATATTGAGTTCTTCCTACAATGAAATGTGTTTCTATGCCTCGCAATCAACGGAAGGTTTCAAAGAGGCTAGGGATGCATGTCTTCCGATGACGAGCCGGATGAATGAGTTATATGAGAGGAATCTGAATAATGGGAATGGAGACAAAGGGAAACATTCATTCCCTCGACAATTTGGAGTAGAAGATCCTGATGTTGTGAAGACAAAAAGGAACCCGGGACAGGCCTCGTCCAACTATCGAAGACTAAGAAAATGTGGGAATTGCAAATGCATTGGCCACACAAAGCGAACGTGTCCTAAGAGGCTAGGGATGCATGTCTTCCGATGACGAGCCGGATGAATGAGTTATATGAGAGGAATCTGAATAATGGGAATGGAGACAAAGGGAAACATTCATTCCCTCGACAATTTGGAGTAGAAGATCCTGATGTTGTGAAGACAAAAAGGAACCCGGGACGGGCCTCGTCCAACTATCGAAGACTAAGAAAATGTGGGAATTGCAAATGCATTGGGCACATAAAGCGAACGTGTCCTAAGGTTCGATTTAGCCGAACAGTGGGTAGTAACTCAGATGCAGATACAACCCACATAACTGACCGTGAGTACAATGCGGAGTCATTGCCCGTTCGCTGCAAAACTGGGTTAGTGGATCCAAGTACACCGCACATTAAGCAACGGCGACTATTTTTCGATGCTTCTCCTGATTCCAAGCAGCCCGTTGGCCAATATGTTAGTGTTAAAGCAGCAGTGTGCAAAAATGATTCGACCATAATTGATGAGGTGAATCAGGTAATTGTATAATTTGTATGATTTACTTATTCCCTTAATTTATTAGGTAGACAGTACTAGCTATTGAAAACACATGTAAATAATGTATGTAGTTTCATTTTGCACGGATTGCTTTGCGTAACGTGTAAATAATTGGTTACGTACAATGCTAGGAAATGGCACAACGTTACTTATGTACAAAGCCGTGAGTTGTAAATTTCCCATATTGTTTAGAGTGATGTTGTTATTTGTGTTTGCAGTGACATGTGATATTGAAAACTAATTGAAGGTGAGATATATATGGGTTGTCTGTGTATTGTTTTGGGTGGAAAATTGGCTTATGTCTGTATTCCAAGATTCCTATTGCGGGTTGCTTGTTTCTGTTCCATATTTGATTAGATCTAACTGAAGGGTTTTTTGCGGTGTGGTTTATCAACTAACGATGTGTTTGGCTTCGTATTGATTTGTTATGACTTGTTTCGGTAAATTAGTATTATATTTCGAGTAAAATGCGAATTTTGTCCATGCGGGTTTGCAAAATTACATACCAACACATGCATTTTGTATATAATCCAAATGGCAGTTAATTTTGGGTGTTACTTGGAGAAAGTAACCCAACGAACTCGTTACTTTATCTCCATGCCGATTGCTATATGAATTACGAGTAACGAACAGGAGTTGTGAAATTATTTCATGTTAACTATGAAAGTGATGGGTTTATTGTTAGTAAAATTATGGTCAGCCTATATCGACAGCAACGAAGCAGTAATTTAAAGTTAACAAGTTAAAGAAGAAAATCAAGCAGTTGTGGTATTGGTTCGAATGCCTGAAAAGGATGAAGACTTCTTTCGATGAACTGATGGTAACAAAGTAGAAAGTAACAAAGTAGAAAGTAAGTTGTTGTGATGTTATGTTGTTTGTAACAAAGTAGAAAGTAGAAGGGAAAAAACTACTCAGAAGTTACAATGTAGAAAGTAAGTTGTTGTGCTGTTTTTCATGTCCTCTCTCTCTGCAAACATTCTGCCATTTGTAGCTATTATTTCCCACGACCCCATGATCTGCCGATTCTGCAACTGCTTCTGTGCAACTTCTGTAGTTGCACGATCATTTCTGTGTCTTGAAACCACATAAAACCTTCACTTGTACCTGTCGAAGTGCGTATAATTGAAGTTGCCACCTGTGCCCAAGTCCTTTTAGCCTTTCCTAGACAGATATAGACTCTCAATTCGTTCATGTTTCCTCTTAGAGGCTGGCCACTAAATCCATGAGTACTGCCGCTAACTGCTCCAGCGTGTAAGTCAGGTAGCATGCAAGATTCAATGTTAGTTGATAACCCTTGTCTTCAGGTGGACTTGCCATGTGTCCTTAATTGAATGGAGCAATTGTTGGCAGGATGTGGGAAAAATAGGTGCAAAGAGGAATTTTTTAAAAATAACCAATCATAATTTAGCTGAAAATATGAGTGAATTTTTTTTAAAAAAAAAAGTAATTTCGATTTTTTTTATTACAAACCCGAGATGTATATTTTGTTTTCGATATAAATAAGTTGTGTATTTTGGTTACGTAAAATGTAGGACAATAATTGTGTTTAAGTCATTACAATACAGAAAAAGGTTATTTCAAACATATTTTCAAGTTTACCGACATTGAATATATTTTGATTAAATTACAGGAAAAATTCAATATTTGCCAGAGTTTGATGATTCAAAGTCGGGCAGTAACAGTGAGTGGCCAAGTGTTGTGGTTCAGTGGCCTAGTTTGCAAGGATTGTGGTTGTGTTTGGTGGACAATATTCTGTCGATTTTTGTCTCATAATGATGAGGGACATGCCCCACAATGGTGAAAAGGAAGGTCGACAGGGAAGAGTCAATATTTGGCATAGTGGACTTGAAGATTCGAAGTCAAGGGGCAGTTATAGTGGCAGTTATGGTGTAGACGTGTGGGATCATGCAATGATGGGCCACAAAAATAGTATACGGATATCGAAATCAACGATCTCCCTTCTAGGCTTTCCAAGTATACTAAACCTCCGCTTCTATCTGTCGATCTCCCTTTTCTTGTGTTTATTTCATGGCCACCAACTGTTTCAAGCTTCTATCGACAGAGCAAGGCTCCTGCTTTGTCTCATGCTTCCGCCTGAAAGTGTGCCCACTAACTCATAATGATGAGGGACATGCCCCACAATGGTGAAAAGAAAGGTCGACAGGGAAGAGTCAATATTTGGCAAAGGGGACTTGAAGATTCGAAGTTAGGGGGCAGTTACAGCGGCAGTTATGGTGTAGATGTATGGGATCATGCAATGATGGGCCACAAAAACAGTATACGAATATCAAAACCAACGATCTCCCTTCTAGGCTTTCCAAGTATACTAAATCTCCACTTCTATCTGTCGATCTCCCTTTTCTTGTGTTTACTTCATGGCCACCAACTGTTTGGAACTTCTGTCGACGGAGCAAGGCTCCTGCTTTGTCTCATGCTTCCTCCTGAAAGTGTGCCCACTAACTCCATGACTGGTGCTAAAAACTTCCCCCATTACTTCTAGGTGACCCATATGTAGAGAGCCCACTTTCAAGTGCTGGACATTCCTTCAGACTTCGCCACGTGTCCTCGATTAAGTGGACCATCTGTCGACAGAGACTGGCAAAACTTGGTGCAAACAATGGCCCCCTTGTTCAAGTTAAATATCATATGAATTAACCTTGCGGAAGTTATTGAGACCCCCTCCAATCACCACCTGCACCACCACCCCACCCCCCCACACACACGTGGGGGCTGGTGATTGCAGTGAGAAGGAAAAAAAAAGAAATTTTTTTTTAAAAAACTGGCCAATCAGAGAGAGAAGGGGTCATGGGGGTGCCCCCCTTGTGGGGGTCCAAGTCATATGATATTGAACTTCAACAAGGGGGCCTAATAGCAAATTTCTTAATACGGGCCCAAAACAAACATAAACTACAGCCCAATATAAGAGCATTTAAATATACTAGCCCCATCATAAGCTATAACAGACCCACCTTTTCAACTTCAAACCACTCTATTTCCCTCTTATTCGAACTCCCAAGACTGTACTCCTTCTTGCCAAGCATTGCCGTTCAAAACCAGAGCACCACAAAACCCTAAGCCATGGCGCCGAAAAAATCTCAACCATCTCCATCTGAGGAGAACAATGAAGACCTACTCCGCTTCCTAGACCCTATCAGAGCACGTATCGCTCCTCTAAGATTTGGTGCAACCCTATTGCCCAGCACAAGCTCTATCGCTAAGGCTACTCTAGGCCCTACCTTCGCATCTTACTTCCCAGACGAGCTAGCTCCATACTATCCCCTTGGTAATGGTGAAAACCTTCTTCTCAACCAACCTGGACTTAAGTGGACTAACTGGAATGTCAGCAAAAACCCACTCAGATTGTGGAGGTCACTAGACTTTGTTTGGCGAAGCTGGGCTAGGAGAATTGAAGGTCACGACGGTGAAGTATGGAAGCACCAGGCATTAGTGAAGCAATTAGACCGTCGAATAAAAAGTATGACATGGACAAAGGGTTGATTGCTGCTGCTGCATGCTTTTGGTCGCAATCTTGTAACTCCCTACTTCTCAATTTTTGTATGATTTCCTCTACCATCTTAGATGTAGCTCACTTGACTGGTCTTCCAATCTTGGGCAGTCCAATTCATGCTCTCCTTGAGCCTCCAAAAGTGACCTTACTTTAAACACTGACATGTGCTATACAGATTTCGCCAAAAAATACAAAGGCGAGCCTGGTTCCCCTATCCAGGACAAAGAAAGAATTGTTTTTTACTTACTTTGGCTTTGTGAGTTTGTTTTTTGTGTCCCTGGGTACAAGATCACTAAGGAATACCTCCCCCTTGCCTTGTGTATGCAAGATGGCCAACTTATGGCTTTAGCCCCTTATCTTCTTGCCACCCTTTACAAGGTCCTATTTTCTTTTGTCGACAAGAAGATTTCTGGCAACTGTGGTGGCCCCTTCTGGCTCTTCCAGGCCTGGTTGTATGCCTATTTCCCTGAGGCACGACCCCGACCAGCTGACACCTTGAAACCAGTTTTCCACTCGTATGCTGAGCAATTGCTCACTTATAATAGCCAACCCATCCTCACTTTCAGAAATTATCTTACCATGTTTTACAACCTTCCTTCGAAGAGACCCTTCAACTTGTACATGCCATTTCAAAACTTTGAATTCTTCTCCAGTAGACTTTCCTTCCTCTTCACAGACCCTTCTGATTTACACAATGACCAAGTCCAAGAACAAAATGAGACTTGGAGACACATTCTCACGCCTAGACATGTCTTGGTTGGCTGTTCCATATCCTCCAGCAAGATGTCCAACTGCAGTTTTGAGACATACTGTCACAATCAATGGTCCAGACAATTAGGTCTTTCCCAGGGTATCCCTTATCCTTATTTTCACCCAACCATCCATGAGGAGATTGGGTCCAGAATCTACTTCAAAGATCCTAGGTAAGCTGAATCCATTCTGACAGAGAACACCAAAATTTTTCAAGATTTTAGCCCATTCTTCTTCAAACCTGCTTCGAACTGCTCCAT